ACACTGCAGGTCACAACAACACTCTCACACGCTCACTCACTCACCCAGTCACTCACCACACTGCAGGTCACAACAACACTCTGACACGCTCACTCACTCACCCACCCAGTCACTCACCACACTGCAGGTCACAACAACACTCTCACACGCTCACTCACCCACCCAGTCACTCACCACACTGCAGGTCACAACAACACTCTCACACGCTCACTCACTCACTCACCCAGTCACTCACCACACTGCAGGTCGCCTCACTTCTCGTTCTGTTCTTTCTCTCGCACTTTTAGACTTTGGAATTTCCTCCTCCCATCGTCTCCCTCCCTCCCCACCGCACTCCCCCTTCCAAGCTCGTATCATGAACAGCCTCGATCAATTCAATAATTGAATTTCCGCACCTCCGATTTAGCACGGTTGGCTACGTACGGTGCGCATGAAGTTCAACACGCGTACAAGAAAAAGTGTTACACTCTTGCTCTCTCTGGCAACTTTGACTGTGCTGTCAGGGTCCTGGACGCTAAACGTTGTTTGAGATTTTGTGCCTGTGCTCAGAATCTGTTTTTAAATAGATGGTGTCGGCTTTGCGGGGAGGGGAGTCTTCAGTCAGCAGTGGATAGATCGTGGCTGAGGATAATTTAGAAGCCTTTAATGATTTAAAGCTTTCGTGACTGCAGGGATTCATATTCGTGGTTCTTTCGGTAAAGTCACGTAGAAGGGAAACAATAAAATAATAAAAATAAAACATAATAAAATAAAATTCTCACGACGTTTCGGCCACAACGCCAGCAACCGTCCTCAGGTGAAGAACAGAGCTGTCGGAAAGACACCGTCTTAATGACACTGATTGCGTTGTGGCCGAAACGTCGTGAGAATTTTATGTTATTACGTTTTATTATTTATTATTTTATCATTTCCCTTCTACGTGATTTTACCGAAAGAACCAAGAATATGACGCCTTTAATGCTTTCATCGCCAACATTTGAAATAACCTGATCACTGGTTGAATGTGATGTATAAACGCAGCAGCGGTTGGCACACAGCTCAAGCGTAAAATTGAATCTCGATTTTTACTCCGCCGGTCTTGTCGGCCTTCTGGGCCAATGTTTTACAGCGGCACATTTTGTTTCGTGGGGTAACGCGCTGCTGATGAGTCGCAGAAGGTCGAAAACGGCTCGAGAGTTGTATTTTTTGTTTGTTTAAACAAACGTTGCCGAAATTTGTTTCGTATTTGGCAGGTCGATCGGCTGGTGAACAAAGACGTTCTTTTGATTTGAAGTTGTCGTCATTAGGAGACAGACAGACTCGTGTGTGTGTGTGTGTTTATTAATGAATGCGTTATCTGTAACGCACCGTGACATGGTGTGATTAACATAACGAGAATTATCGTCGTACGGCACACGCAATCACATGGGTGTTAAAAATAATATCAGAATATTGTCATATGTCAAGTGTGTGTGTGTTTGTGTAGTATTAATTTTGTACATCGGCTTCCACGCCCGATATTATGATTTACAATAGGTTTCTTTTGGGTTCGGTCATCGTGTCAATAAAATGTGTGTCGTGAGCCCTCCTCCACCCGGACACAGCCAATTAATAAACCAAAAAATGTCACGCGAATCAAACGTGGCAAGTGCGTTACTGCGTCAGCACCGCCCGTGTGATGGAGATTAATGAACGTGCACTCCTTCGCCCCATGTCGACTCCCAAATAATATCACTTACACACGCAGGCACACGTGTACTGACACACGTGTACTGTAGTCGTGTACTCGTGTGCTCACATGCACACTGCTATACCGTATGCTCATACTGTATATGTACAGTATATACACACAAAGATCTCCCGCAAAGCCCGTAACAGACTGTTGGGGTGTTGTTAGCGAGCACCTATGAAGGCCGGCACGGAACACGAGGGGGATGGGTGGCCGACAACCACGCCCGTCCGTCTTTGTCTCCCTATTGGTGGTGTTTATACACCGCATCAGGTACTCATTTGAGGCTGAGTCGACCTACGGAAGGCCCAGAACCGGTTCATACAATCGCCGCTGGTGTTGGCCGTGAGCGGGAATCGAACTCGGGACCGATGGGTTCGTAGTGCAGCGCGCTAACCGCTACACTACCGCTTCCTAATAGCATATACACGCTAAATTTTATATATATGTGTGTACGCAAATACATTATAACATATACTCATATTTACAAATATATACATATATGTACATATACATAGGTATACATAAATGCTCTACACATATACTTTATATACGCATACAGATATACTCATCGCATCACTATTACAATAAACTGTGCCTCGAGTTTTCCGGCTGGCTGCTGGCTGGGCTCCTCACCGCCCCAACAGTAACTCTGCTGTTGTTGTTGTTATTGTTGTTGTTAGCAACTGCTGCGGGCTGTTGCCACCGAAACTAGCTGGGTAGCTGGCTACACGGGATTTCCCGTGTAACAAATGAACGTGGAATTGAATTTAAACGTGTGGGAGAATAATAATTTCGGAAGGCGCTTAGTAATAATGATGATGATAGATGATCTCGACACCTAAGAGGTGGGAGTGAATGCAAGAGGCAGACCAGGGCTCATTTAAATTTGTCCATTAACTTTGCAATTGGTGCTCCTATCAATGTAAACGATTCTCCGTAACATTCTTTGAAACGTACAGAATAAGACTAACCTTTAGAATGCGTACATATTATCTTGACATTTTATGATATATATTCTTTTAAAAAGCAGATTACTTTGAGTGCTGCGAGTGCAGGCGGGCAGCGAGAAGAGCGTGACATCCGTCTCTGATTTCCCATTGCAGAGCAACAAACGGGATCTCTCAGAGTTTACTTAAAAATGTACAAAGATCCCTCGTATAGCCGGTAACAGACTGTAGGGGCAAGTGCTGTTAGCGAGCACCTGTGAAGGTCGGAACTTTACACGAGGAGGTGGGTGGCCAGCACCACGCCGGTACTCATTTTAGACTGAGTCGCCCTAGGGGAGGCCCAGGACCGGGACCGGTTCAAATAATCGTCACTGGTGTTGGCCGTGAGCGGGAATCAAACTCGGGCAGCCGGGTTCGTAGCGCAGCGCGCTAACCGCTACGCTACCGCTCCCCATATAAAAAAAACCATACACGCATACGCGTACACATACACACAGAACAGGCGCTTGTGAGTGGGCTTTGTCTGGTAGGATGGGAATGGATTAGTGTTGTATTTGTACGTGTTTTGTGTGATTTGTTCACCTTTCTTGTACTTTGCACTTCGATCGTGTTTCTGTATTGTTTATTGTTGTCACGTTCTTACCTGCCCCGACCGGAGATCTGTGAAAAAAAGAGCTTTATAGCTCATCAGATTCCCCCAGTAAAAATTAATATTCTGACTCTGAAATACATATATATAACTATATTTACTTGTGTGCATATATTTACATTCGTGACAAGTCCACAGCCGGTCGTCCTGTTTGGATGCGTGTCCATGCCATGCGAATGTGGCGTTTCCATCTCAGGCTCAGGACGTCCAACGGAGACTCTTGGCTATTCGGCTCGATCATGATTCCGAGTCCATTTGCTGAACGAAGCGATCTCACGCTGTGGCATGGCGGCCTACCGTAGAGGGTATAGCCACGGCCTTCAATTAACAGTGGATAAATCATGGTTGATGATGACGGTGGTGGTGGTGGTGTAGATTCGGCACTTAACGATTCATGTGTCTGACCTCCCCGCGATGCGATGAATTGTCGCAATTCGGGGTCCCCATTCAATTCAATAATCGATTATTACGATTGTGTTGGATTGATTGCCCTGTGTGTTCTGCCTCGTCCGTTAATTTAATAGTCGCAATTCAACTATTGTATGCAATCTTCATATACAGCAGTTTCTGTAAACGGTATATCATCTACTCTTACAGGTGTGATATTGTATGCGTAGAGCGAGAACATATGAAAATAGTTAAATCGATTTTTCGATTAATAATGACGCATATTATGAAGATCCTTCTGCTGTTGCTGACGATGCTACTGCTACCAATGATGACGGTAACGATGCCTACCTAATGCGTGTTCGCGTGTCATCCCAACCACCCCATCACATCCCGCACACACACACACACACCATACACACCACATACAACACATCCACACACTAAACACACATCACACGCACACATACGCGCCTCTGCACACCATCACCACCACTCATACCACGCACACGGCTATACACGTAACATATATCACACACCGCACAAACACCACACACAAACAACCCCCATGCGTTCCTCGCACGTTCGCACCACACACACCACGCATACCCACATACACCACACACACACACCATACACACACCATACACATACCACACACACACACACCATACACACAACCCCAAAAAACGCTCCACATCAACACACCACACTCACCACACGCCACACTCACCACACGCCACACACCCTCCTAACACTACTCCTCCCCGCCACTACACACACGACACCCATACCACACCCTCGCACTACCCCCACCGCTACTCCGCCGAAAAAACAACACACACCACACCCACGCATTACCCTCCCTCCCGCTACACACACACGACACCCCCCCCACACACACCACACACACACGACACCCCCACACACACCCACACCACACACACGACAACACACACAACACACACACACGACACACACACTCGACACCCAAACCCACACACACACGACATCCACACCCACACCACACACACACGACACCCCCACACCACACACACACGACACCCCACACCCACCGACACCACACACACACGACACCCCCACACACACACACCACACACACACGACACCCCCCACACACACACCACACACAACACACGACACCCCCCCACACACACAACACACACACGACACCCCCACACACACACACCACACACAACACACACACACCACACACAACACACGACACACACCCACACACACACCACACACAACACACACACACCCACACACAACGCGCGTGCAGGATGCTGCTGCTGCTGCAGCCGCCGCTGCTGTCGGAGTCGCCCTCGCCGCCTCTCCTCTCGTTCGCGGCGCGCGACAGCCCCGCGGGCTCCCCGGGACTCGCTCTCTCCTGCAGCCCCGCGGGCAGCTCCAGCTCCAGCTGCCGCGCCCAGAGATCGCTCACGGCGCCCGCCACCTCCGCCTCGGTCACGGACAGCGACTCCGAGTGCGACGTGGGCATCGGCGACTATTGAGACGACTCGTTTCCCCCACAGCCACCCAGCCACCAGCATCAGCAGGCAGTCGGATTTGGTGTGGGCTCACGAATGAATTGTGGATGAAGGACTAATTGTGGTCGACGTTTTAGGGGACTGAGGATGGCACACGAGGGCCGAAGACTTATGCCACCACGTTTGTTTATGCGGGTGGTGGTGGTGTTTTAAAAAAAAAAAATCGTAACTCGAGTGCTAGCGATCGCTCAAGTACGCCGACTTCTGTTTGTGAATTGGAACTTCGGAGTGTGAATAGCGACTCGGAGGCCGAATAACGTCTCACCTTTGCGTGACGTCGCAAGCAAGAATTGTGTGATCCGTGTGCGAATTAAGTACGACACGTGGGGCTCTGTTGGATATAGCCTATAGGCCCTCGTTTTAATTTTGTCAATGAATCTTAGACCGTGCACGAACACCTATAAGGTATAGCGCGTCATGATATAGCCGAGGTGTGGCGCTGGTAGCTGTAAAATGCCTATGCGAACACTCCTCGGTACAATTTCCTATAGGATATAGCCAATGCGTGAATCCCAGTTTGGATGTGGTCTGTGTATGAAGCCCTATAGGACATAGCCCATGTACCATACCTCCCATTGATGATAAAATACCTACAGGAACAAGCCTATGCACAAAGCCCTATAGCATGTAGTCTATGTAAAGAGCACTAGAGAATATAGCCCATATACTAGACTATAGGACTTCATGCATGCTGTGCATTCTACAGGGATTCATACATAATCATGTAGTGCTTAATTAAATTCATATGTATTGCATATAGTGCTTATATAATTATCATCATGCATTATACAGAACCCGATAATTTTTTTTATATATATTTTATTTTATTGCATGAAGTTATATATGGTGTATGAAGCCCTGTAGGATACAGATTATATGTGAAATCGTATAGAACACATCCCATGTATGAATCCCTTGTGGTTTATATGGTGGGATGTTGTATGGTCAAATCTTGGAGGTCGTGTGTCTTACTGTGCAGCGAATTATTTTGGTGTTTACTGCGTTGGCAGTGGTGCATAAGCATTCATAGCAAAACAGCTCAACACTCACACTGTGGCCCTAACAGGGAGAAGTAGATAACGGGCGACGTTTCGGGCGCTGGACCCCCTACATAGCACATGAAGAAGTGCCATTGCCAGAAACCTCCCCTTTTATAGGGTGGCCCCAAAAGTCAGGACACAAGGTTATTGTGCTTATTTTACCAAATCGCAGAGGGTTCTTTAATTTATTTGAACACATTTAATAAAACTGACTTATGGTAACATAAATGCATGATGCATTACTTATCTTTCGGAATGAATGTAAGACTTAAAAGATTACAGCTACCTTCTTTAGCATATGTAAAACAACTAATTAATTAACTAATTAACCGTGTTAGTCTTCAGTCAATTTTATCTCAATATTTAAACATCATCTGAAAGGGAATAAAATTGATATTAAGAATGATAGTTAAATACAATATTAACTTAATTTACATTTTACTACCAGTGTTAAAATAAATTAAATAACCCTATGTATACTCTTTGGTTCTATTGGGTAAAGTCACGTAGGTGAAAATAATATAACAAAAAATCACGACGTTTCGGCCACAACACAAGCGGCCTTCATCAGGTGAAGGGACGAGACTGTCCTGAAGGCTGCTTGTGTTGTGGCCGAAACGTCGTGATTTTTTGTTATTTTATTTTCACCTACGTGAGTTTACCCAATAGAACCAAAGAGTATGGATAATAGCAGTCACGAAAGCTTTAAATCTAGAATTAATCCTATGTATTCTGACTTCATTGGTGTTACAAATAATCGCCTCTTTCGAGAACTCACCTCCAACCCAGATCCTGGTCTCAAACTTAACGACCTAAGCTCACTGGTCTTCCCAGACCAGGCCAGGCCCGGGTCTGAAACTTAATCCCTAAAGTTCACTGGCCTCTCTAGACCAGACCCTGGTCTCAAGCTCAACCCTTAAGCGCGTTGAGTTACGGTCAGCGGCACATGGTAAGATCGTTTGGCGAACAGTCGCATAGGAGGTGTAGGAATGGAAAAATAGGTACAGGTGCTACCCCTTCTGGAAATTAAACAGGAGATGTTCAAACACCAAACAAACCTTTTGCAAGGAATCAAATTACTGCATTAACCGGGCATGATTCCTTGCAAAATGTTTCTGTAAGGTGTTTGAACATCGTAACAACTGTTTTGTTGCCAGAAAGGGTAAAACCTATTCTTATTTTTGCATTCTTGGATACTGGCAAAAATGAAGGGTCGCATTTTGAGGTGGATGGATATTTTTGACTGCTATGCCATTTTTTTAAAGTCAACTTTTTTGTTACACGATAGCTCACAAAAGCACACACACGTGCGCACATGCGTGTACATAAGTAAGTAGTCGTGTATGCCGTTCTCTCGGGATGTAACGATGCATTTTAATCGATTCCCTATTGATTATTTTAGGTCGCGGTGCGCGCATCGAATCGCGCGTTTGTTTTTTTTTGCTTTTTTGTTCCATTCGTCATTTGCCGGGTACACTGTAATGGGTTCACGTGACCCACGCGGCCGCTAGAGGCCGCTATAATTCAACCACATCGTTTATCTATTTTTTTTTAAATCGAGTCAATTAATTCAAACGTCGGAAAGAGGTGGGGTGAGTGGGCGAGCAAGATAATCGGAACACCCCTCCTATTCTCTATCCACTGCTGGAGGTTGCAGTCTTCATCCTTGATGTATGTCCCTCGTGTGCGTCCGTGTATTGCAGCTCTGTGCCTATCCCATGCGCGTAAATTGTTCCGTCTCCCGCTGACCCCGTCCTGTGCATTGTCTGATGTCGCCACGATCACACGCAGGCACACACGATGTGTGTCGGCCAACATCGTTTTGTTTATTTGGAACGGCCGATAACAGGGGGGGGGGGGGGGGGACCAATTATTTCCCGAGAGCCGAATTTGACTTTCTAAAACAGATTTCCCTCGCTCTGCGCAGGTTCGGTTTGTGCGATTTCGCGCATATGCGGCGAACCTATTTCTACTCAAAATTCGCTTCATGCGGTTGAGGTCGGACGTGAGACAACGGCGTGTGTACTGTATGTACTGTGTGTGCTGTCCGTGTGTACCGCGTGTACGTTGTGTGTACGGTGTGTATGGCGCGTGTACTGTGTGTGTACTGTGTGCGCCCTGTGAGTTTACTACGTGCGCAACTCGGCGGGCAGCTGTCTCCTCGTGCGGTTTCGCTCTGTGCGCCCTTTTTTTTTTTGGAACGCATCTACTGCTACGACTACTACCGCGCAGAGCGAGGGAAACCGGTGAATGCCTTTCAAGTTTATTTTGCTTAACCAGGTGAGACCACAAGTGGCCGCAGGGTTCGAGTGCCCTGGATCTCAACAAATGGCAAGAGCTAAATAAATAAACAACGAAGCACGGCGAATAAAGCCAACAGCGATCAGAGCAAGAAATAACCGTCACGTGGAGAATCGAAACATGTTGCACGACCACAGATCAATGTTAAAGGCCACACTTTGGCACGCAAACCTCAATCACTTTACATCACTGGCCAGGGGCATCCTGCATTTGCACACGTTAATGAGCGCACTAAGATTGGAAGCATCGTGTTTGCCAGGTCTAGAATTACTCCCCGCCCCCCACCCCCCTTTTAGAAACATATTCAGGATTTTTTGTTTTGCAGCCAATAGTTTTGCCATCTCCAAAATACCCCCCACCCACCTCGAGTATGCGATTAGTGCAGCGACTGGGATGCTTGCAGCGCCGGCCGAAAATTCGTTGACGGGCCGTGTCAAAGCGGTCGGTCTCCTGTCAGCGAGCGAAGCCTTCGACACTTCACGTGGCCTCAAAGTGCACCCGGCCTGGCACGGGTGTCGTGGCGACGCCACCGTCACTGAGTGGCGAATGGCGGGCGCATTGCCCATTAGTTTCGCGAGGCCAGCGTGACACTCAGTCGCTTGTCCCTGCGCCCGCTGAGGTCTCCCCAACCCCTTTGGCCCACGACAATCTTGCGGTGTTTTGCAGGCCTCGTTTTCTGCCCCGCAATCAACGTTGATGGGCGCATTTGGAGGGTTGCAGGTGAGGGCGCAAAGGGTGGATGGATGTGTGTAAATTAATATTGTTTCATATATCGTGTTTAAAATAAAAGTATGTTCAAGGTTTTACGGTCAATGATGATAATAATTTACGGCCCTTTGTCATTGCACTAATGGATGAGGACCCCCCCCCCCCTCTCCACCCCCCACGTACGGCGAGTCGATCACAGGGGTTTGTTTGACCATACTTCACCACGCTGGTTAGTACGGGTTAATGAAGAGGCCTGGAGTGCACGTGACCGTTTTGGATAACACGCGTTTGCTGATGTTGGTCGTGACTGGGAATCGAACTCGGATTGTCGGGTTCACAGTTCAATGCGCTAATCGTTGCGCCACCGCTCCTCCATTAACTATAGCGTCATAACATAATGCGTTTATATGCCTGGCCGCACTTGGCAGCGATGACGATAGGAAAGTAGCAGCGATGATTTTGGAGGTGGCGAGTGAATGTTGGGGGAGCGGCGGCGGATTGGTTAGCCCACTGCGATTTGAGTTCGATTCCCGCACACGGCTAACATCAGTGGCGAGTGATAGCTGAACTGGTTTTGGCGCCCCCTTCTCGCCACACCATCCCGCACTGACCAGCGTGGTGAAGTATGGTCAAGCAACTCCCGTGATGGCCACGGCGTGGAAAATCGTCATCCAAAAAGTGAATTGAGAAAGGCCTGTATAATTACAGGGTGCTTCAAAAACACATTAACACTTATATGGGACTATCGTTGTTAATGGAAAACGAACGAGTCATGCGCTGTAACGTGATAACAAATGTGATGTAAATAGCTTCAAAAAGTCAAAGAGCCAGCCTCCACTTGTTCGTCAACGCGTGCCTGGAATCTTCTCCAGGTGGTCTCCGGAGCCTGGAGGCATTGTTGCAAATTCTCAGCGGAAGTGTTAACATTTTTTTAAGCACCCTGTCTTATTAGTAGTAGTAGATATAACTGAAGGTTGTAACTCTGATTGCTACGGGGTATGTTGGTGTTACACATAATGTAAGGCGGTTGCACATGGACGTGTTCATCCCTTTTATCAATCAACTTCTGGATGAGGGCCTCCCCTCGATTGCGGGTCGTGGGAGTTACATAACCATACTTCACTGCGTACAATTACATATCACAAATACAAAGCCTTAATGTGCTGTTGGGCAACTTTTGTTAACGGGCACCTATGAAGGCTGTACTAGGGGTGATTTGGTCACAGACGCGCGCACACACACACACAACAATAACAGAAGCGATCATTCACCACACTAAGTAGCGGTGCCCAGGCTATGTACACTTTGAGGCTATCACGTAAGTTGCGGGAGTCTCGCTGCTGGCAAGGAGGTCGCGGGACAGACCCAGGTGCTATGGGTTGACTCAGATGACCCGCGGATGCACCACCACCTCTGCTCTCCACTGTGCCAGCTTGCTGATTTATCCACCCTCCACTGGTTGTTGTGAGCGTCGCATACGCTCCACGCGTATAGCCGTGCAAACAGCGTGTTGTTTACCGAGTCAGCCATATAGGGTCAATGGTAACGTAAATTAAAGTAAATGGAATTAAAGGGAAAACGTCAATATACATTCTTCCATTTAGAATGCGGACATCTACTGCGTTTTGAAAGTGTCCGTTTCGTATACTTCTTAGAGTCGCAATTAGTTGCCGATTGATTGTATGTATGGGTTGGCGCCGCACGTGACGGAGTGCAGAACAGAAATCAATCGATTAATCGATCACATGATCGAATCTTCGGTTGGCGATCCGTGATTCGAATTGCGCACGTGCGGGAACAAAGAGTTAACTTTTTATTCTTGGTTATTTCGGTAAAGTTATTTTATTATGTTTTATTTATATTATATTATTATTTCCCTTCTACGTGACTTTAGCGAAAGAACTAAGAATAATAATAATACCTGCAGTCACGAAAAGATTTCACGCTTCGTAACGTTGCATGCAAAAAAAATCCCCTTCAGTCACGAGTGGCCGCTACACTCACGGCAATGATACAAAACAAATATATAAGAATCGATTAAAAAAAATACATAATCGCGACATGGCACGGACTCGCAAGGGGTTCGGATGAGGGTCGTTACACTCCGTGAAAAACAATGATTTACAAGTGTGTTAATATACAAGGGTATCCGTTTGAACGGGGATGGAGTGGTGGTGCAGTGGTTAGGGCACTGCATTATGACCCCGGCACCCCAGTCCGATTCCAGGCCATGGACACCATCAATGGTCAGTGATATCAGAACCGATTTAACTTCCCGCCCGCCCCATCAACCAATCTGCCATAACCACCTGGATGAAGTAAGGAGAGAAAAAAATCCTCAAATCCCCCGCATGACCTACATGGCGTGGGCAAGCCTTCGCCCATCGGTGGATTGACGCAGCGTTACATTTAGATTCACGATTATGCAATCCGGAAGAAGAGTAAGCCAGATACCGTCTAGAGGGGCTCTCTAAAGGTCGCCATAGCAGTGGCTGTGAGCAAGC